GTAGCACTGATGAGGTGGCACTGGTGAGCATTGATGAGGAGGCACTGATGATGCACTGATATGCAGGAAATGATGGGCACTGATAAGCGGCACTGACTGATAGCACCAACTGGAGGCACTGACAGACGGCACTGACCGGCGGCACTGCTGGGCATCATTGATGGGTGGCACTGATGGGCAGCACTAATGAGGTGTCACAGATAGGTGGCACTGATATGCGGCACTGATTGGTGGCACTGATAGGCGACACTGATAATGGGTGATGATAGACAGCACTGATAGGTGGCACTGACTGACATCACTGCTGGGCACTGACTGGCGGCACTGCTGGGCACTGACTGGCACAACCGCTGGGCACTGACTGGTTGGCACTGACTGGCAGCACTGCTGGGCTGCACTGATGGGCACTGGTGGGTGGCACTGGTGGGCACAGGTGGGTGGCACTGGTGGGCACAGGTGGGTTGGCACAGGTGGGTGGCACTACTGGGCACAGGTAGGTGGCACTTCTGGGCACAGGTGGGCGGCACAGGTGGGTGCATTGCTGGGCACAGGTGGGCGCACTGTTGGGCACAGGTGGGTGCATTGCTGGGCACAGGTGGGCGGAACTTGTGTGTGGCACTGCTGGGCACCGATCATCAGGGCACTGATGATCAGTGACCCTTATGATCGGTGCCGTTCCCCGCTCTGACAACTGCCGGTTTTCGGCAGTACTTTCCTCATGATCTGAGAGCGTGAGGAAAGTGCAGCCGAGAACCGGCATTTGCATTTCCCGGTGATCAGCGTGTCATTGGACATGACTGATCACGTGGTAAAAGGCCGCTGTGATTGGCCTTTTACCACGTCACGTGATCAGCTGTGTCCGTAGGACACAGCGATCACGGAGATCGCCCGGTGCGCGCCCCCGGGGGTGCGCAGGAGAGAGCGTTCTTCCTCTTCTTCCTGGCGTGCCCACTGAGATGGCTCTGCGTGCCAGCTCTGGCACGCGTGCCATAGGTTCGCCATCACTGGCCTAGGGCATCATGCAGGGTGACATGGAAAGAAAAGCTCATCAGCTTGCATCTTTTCCTTTCACTGTCCAAGGCTGGGGGAAGAGCAAGACCTGCAAGTGTTACTGAACTGTAGCAGAGAAAAGAGTCTCCTTCCCTGCTAAATGGGGCTGTGCCATGTGGCAGAGCTGTGTGAATCTCAGGGCTGGATGGACAGAAATGCAAATCTTCTGGTGCTCAGTGTTAATTTGCTATGAGGTTCCATCACACCCAGTTCCATGCCTGCTATCTGGTATGGCGCTCACCCATAAACTGAAAGCCTGGTAGTCACAAGGAGTTATGATTTTTGGTAGACATGTAGATTAGAATAGCAGTGTAATACTGTTGCTGTATACAGAGAGTTTTTCAAAGCAGAAGGAATGTCATTATTTGCCCTGTATTTGACTATTAATGGCACAGAGATTGGATGCTACGTTTTTCTTTCCCTCGCAAGTGCTGATTGTAAATGGGCCGCCATCAAATGACTGGAATAATGACTTTGCCAACACGATGATCGATCATTGCAATGTCAGACGGAGAAGAAAAGAAATTCGGCAGTCTGTTTCCAAATATAAACCTTCACTATGTGACAGGACAATATATAGGGCACATAGCTTTTATTAAAGAGAACCTGTCCTGAGAAGTATATGAAGGCTGCCATTGGTGCTCTCACCATCTGAAAATGATGGTTGCCTGGCTGTTGGTAAGCTTCCAGGATGTGACTTTTTTATGCCTTAGGGCAGGGGTCTCCAAACTACAGCCCGCAGGCCACACACTACAAGATTTTTATATGGTGCCCAGCTGGGGTCAGTGGCCTATCCCTGTGCACAGATTGAGGATAAGGATCGGTACAGGCTACCCATGGTCTTTGCTTTGACCTGATGTAAGGGGGACTCTGATGAGGACCCTAAGATAAAGGGAACTCTGATGGGAACTCTGATGAGGACCCTAACTCTGATGGGGACCCTGATGCAGGGAGTGACTTTGATAGGGACTCTAATATAAAGTGAGCACTGATGGGAACTCCGAGAAACCCTAATGTAAGTTAGGACTGTAAATGAGACCCTGATGTAGGGAAGAACTTTGATGGGAACTCTAATGTAAGAGTAACTCTGATCGGGACTGTGAGGAACCCTGATGTAAGGAGAACTCTGATCGGGACCCCAATGTATGGGGGGAATATGATGTAAGGGGGACTCTGATGGGGACCCTGATGTAAGGAGGGACTTTGATGGGGACTCTAATGTAAGCGGAACTCTGATGGGGACTGTGAGGAACCCTGATGTAAGGATAACTCTGATCAGGACCCCAATGTATGGGGGGAATATGATGTAAGGGGGACTCTGATGGGGACCCTGATGTAAGGAGGGACTTTGATGGGGACTCTAATGTAAGCGGAACTCTGATGGGGACTGTGAGGAACCCTGATGTAAGGATAACTCTGATCAGGACCCCAATGTATGGGGGGAATATGATGTAAGGGGGACTCTGATGGGGACCCTGATGTAAGGAGGGACTTTGATGGAGACTCTAATGTAAGAGGAACTCTGATGGGGACTATGAGGAACCCTGATATAAGGATAACTCTGATGGGGACTCTAATATATAGGGGGAATCTGATGGGAGCTCTGAGGAACCCTGATGTATGGAGGACCCTAATCAGGACCCTGATGTAGGGAAGGACATTGATGGGGACTGTAAAGTTAGGGGAACTCTGATGGGGGTTCTGAGGACCCTTGATGTAAGAAGGACTCTGATAGGGATCCTAATGTATAGGGGAAATCTGATGTAAGGGGGACTCTGATGGGGACCCTGATGTAGGGAGGGACTTTGATGGGGTCTCTAATGTAAGGGGAGCTCTGATCGGGACTCTGAGGAACCCTGATGTAAGGAAAAATCTGATGAGGACCCTAATATATAGGGGTAATCTGATGTAAGGGGGACTTTGATGGGGACCATGATGTAAGGGGGATTCTGATGAGACCCTAATTTAAAGGGAACACTGATGGAGACTCGGATGTAAGGGGTCTCTGAGAGATATCCTGAGGGGATAAGGAGGGGTCTGATAGGGACCATATTGTATTGGGGAAATCTGGTGAAAGGTAGAACTCTGATGGAGACCTTGATGTAAGGGAGTCTCTGAGAGGAACCCTGATATAAGGAGGAGTCTCCTGGAGACCCTAATGTATAGAGGCAATCTGATGTAAGGGGGACTCTGGAGTAAGGCAGGACTTTGATGGGGACCCTGATGTAAGGGGGCACTTTGATATAAAAGTGGACTATAATGTAAGGAGGAAATTTGATGGGGACCCTGTTAAAAAAGGGGGACTTGTTAATTTATAAAAGTGATTTTCTTCAGCCTGTGAATATTTGTTAAATATCTGATGTGGCCCTCGGACTGAAAAGTTTGGAGACCCCTGCTTTATGGAATGACCACCATATATGTAACATATTACCAGTTTTTTTCACATCCTCGGAACCAGTAAGGTGAGTAGTGGGGGGTGTATTTACCTATTTGAGTTGATGTTAAGTTCCAAGTGTTTTCTAGAGAGAATAAACTGAAAGCTCCTAGTTGAAGAGGCACGGGTCTTTCCCAAGTCTGTCTTGCTCACAGTCTTGTCTAAGCTCTTGACTTTGTTATGAAGACAAAGAGGGGTTTATTTACTAAAGCTGGAGAGTCCAAAATCAGACTCCCTTCTGCATAGAAACCAATCAGCTTCTAACCTCAGCTTGTTCAATGAAGCTTTGGCAATGAAACCTGGAAGCTGATTGGTTTCTATGCAGAAGGGAGTCTGATTTTGCACTCTCCAGCTTTAGTAAATAAACCCCAGATTGTCTAATTAAAGCAAACCTGGCCTGTCCTATAAAGTCACAACGGTGCACCTCATGTGGATCCATTATTTTCTGAGTTGCTGACCTGGCATACATACTCAGATCAGGTACTTCTGGCTTCACTTGATATGAGCTTGTTCCAGGCTAGTGTCTAAGAAAGTTCTGTAGCCTGAGATAACCATCTAGCATTTATAAAAAGGAGGTCCGGGTGTTTTAGCTCTGGTGGTCTGAGTCACGTGGTTTCAGCATATATAGCTCATTAGGCGCAGAAACATGGCTGTTCTGCACCATCATCCTCTTGGCACAATACTGCACACCTTCACTGCACCAAATAACGAGAAACTCATTTTCTGAAAAAAATATTTATTTGGCACAGATCGTGCAAATCTGTGCAGCCTGTGGCACTTTGACATTTGGTGCACGAGTCACATCCTACTATTCATTCCATCAAGCTTGAGTAATTGTGCAGCACATTTCTTAAATTAATGTTCCATGCATCAAATATTTGGGTCAGCACCATTAGTTACCGGGCCCATTGAGTTAAGATGTTTCCAGTGCGGGGTACTGATAATACAACAGCATACAAAGGCTTTGGAGATAATTGTGCTCTTCCAACCAGTTTAGTGAAGGCCCTTTTCTGTTCCAGCATGACTGTACCCCTGTGTACAAAGCCAGCACCATAAAGACGTAGTTTGACCAGTTTGGTATGGAGGAACTCAAATTGCTTTCACAGAGATCTGACCTCAACCCTATAAAACACCTTTGGGATGAATTGGAACTACAATTGTGATCCAGGTCTTCTCCTCCAACATCAGTACCTGACCTCACAAATGCTCTTTTTGCTAAATGGACACAAATTCCAATAAACATTATAGACAATTGTGCATTTTCAACCGTAGTAACAATTTGATGAAGGCCCTTTTCTGTTCCAGCATGACTTTGCCCCTGTGTACAAAAATGTGTCGTAAAGACATGGTTTGACCAGTTTGGAGAAGAGGAACCTAAGTGGTCCATGGAATTCTGCTTTTGACATACTAAAGCTTATATAAGATTTTAGTGATTGTGTTAATGTAAGAAAAAAATTGAAACAAGACCACCTGGTACAATCTAGTATTCTTATACTCTGTTACTATCCACCTACAGTGACATCTACCAGACAGAGAAAGAGATAGCGAGGGATAAAGAAAGGAATAACCGACAACGACCGCCGAAGATTATTGAGCCTGTTCCCATTCAAGAGCCCCCACCGAAGGTAAAACCAACGGATGTCGCATCAGGGTTTATAGAAATGACTGATCAGTAGTAATCTCAAATATAGATTTTGAAGCTCAACTCCAGCCAAAACAGCTGCTTCATTCTATTACACATCCCAAACATATTATTTCAGGTCATCATCACTGAACAGGTTGCAAGCCTTTCTCCATAGAAGCCACAGTTTCTATACATTGATGGCACTGATGATGGCCAACCTTACACCATTTGGAATAAATGGCTTTATAATATAAGGCTATATTTGCACTATACAGCAGAGGTTCTGGACATGCATTTGGCTGATGGGACCTAAAGCTATGATTTGCATTACATGGCTCTGCTGGCTGTCGTGGAATGAGAAATTATCCTCTTCTTTTTGGGCTTTGTGATGGAATGAGGCATGCGAATACCTTTTGGTTGTACAAAGGCATTCCAGTGCTACACGCTGATTCAATTGAAGGGTTCTTGATTTCTGAAGTCCCTTCTCTCAATAACCTGTGTCGGGAGACGTGTCCTAGTTTCTTTTTTGTTTTTTTGGTGCCAGTTTGGAAGTATCTCCCTCACTTTCTGAATAAATAACCACATAAGAAGTGAGGGGGAACATTCCAAACAAGGACAGCAATACAATTCTGAAAGAGGTGCATATCCTTCACCATTCTCTCCAAAGCAGGAACACTTTTGCCTCCTGGTCCTCTTAGTGTCTCTATCTGGGGAGTTCTGTCCTCATTTCCTTTTTGTTTTGTTGCTGCCATTTGGGAAGTTTCTCCTTCACTTCCTGTCTGCATGACCACATAGGAAGTGAGGGGGAAATGTCCCAAGAAGGACAGCAAAAAAAGCCTGAAATAGGTTCACACCCTTCACCAGTCTATCCAAAAATCAATAAAAGATTGGCCGGAGGTCAACCTTGTATCTCTATCTAGGGAAATCTGTTCTCATTTCCTTTTTGTCTTTTTTGGTGCCAGCTGGGAAGTTTCCCCTTCACTTCCTGTTTAAGTGACCACATAGGAAGTGAGTGGGAAACTTCCCAATAATGACAGCCATTTTAGCCTGAAAGAGGTTCGTACCCTTCACCATTCCCTCCAAAACAGGAACGATTTTGGCTGGAGGTCCTCCTTCTTTCTCTGTCTGGGGAGATCTGTCCTCATTTCCTTTTTGTTTTATGGCGCCAGCTGGAAAGTCTGAATGACCACATAAGAAGTGAAGGGAAAACTTCCGAAGAAGGAAAGCAACACCCTTCACCATTTGAACCAGAAATAAAAAAAATAAATTGGCTGGTGGTCCACCTTGCATCTCTATCTGGGGATATCTGTCCTCATTTCCTTTTTCTTTTATGGTGCCAGTTGGGAAGTGTGAATGACCTCATAGGAGAAACTTCCTAAAAAGGACAGTAATAAAATCTGAAAGAGGTTTGTACTCTTCTGCAGTCTATCCAAAACAGAAACTTTTTTGGCTGGAGGTCCTCCTTCTGTCTGTATCAGGGGAGATCTGTCCTCAGTTCCTTTTTTGTTTTTTTTTGTGCCAGTTGAGAAGTCTGAATGACCACATAGGAAGTGGGGCAAAACTTCCTAACAAGGACAACAATAAAAATCTAAAAGAGGTTTGTACCATTCAGCAGGCTATCCAAAACGGGAACATTTTTGGCTGGAGGTCCTCCTTCTGTCTGTATCTGGGGAGATCTGTCCTGAGTTCCTTTTTGTTTTTTGGTGCCAGTTGAGAAGTCTGAATGGCCACATAGGAAGTGGGGGCAAAACTTCCTAACAAGGGTTTGTACCCTTCAGCATGCTATCCAAAATGGGAACATTTTTGGCTGGAGCTCCTCCTTCTGTCCCTATCTGGGAAGATCTGTCCTCATGTCCTTTTTGTTTTTTGGTGTCAGCTGGGAAGTCTGAATGACCACTTTGGAAGTGAGGGGGAAACTTCCTAACAAAGACAGCAATAAAAATCTGAAAGAGGTTTGTACCCTTCAGCAGGCTTTCCAAAACATGAACATTTTTGTCTGGAGGTCCTCCTTCTGTCTGTATCTGGGGAGATCTGTCCTCAGTTCCTTTTTGTTTTTTGGTGCCAGTTGAGAGGTATGAATGACCACATAGGGAGTGGGGGCAAAACTTCCTAACAAGGACAGCAGTAAAAATCTGAAAGAGGTTCATACCCTTCAGCAGTCTATCCAAAACAGAAAACATTTTTGGCTAGAGGACCTCTTTTTGTCTCCATCTGGGGAGATGTGTCCTCATTTTCCTATTCATTGTGGATCCCGTTGGTGCCAGTTGGAAAGTTTCCCCCTCACTTCCTACCTGATGACCACATAGAATAGAGGGAGAAAATTCCCACAAGGACAGCAAAAAAAATCTGAAAGAGGTTTACTCCCTCCACCATTGTAATCAAAAATAGAAAAAAGTTTTGGCTGGAGGTCTACCTTGTGTCTCACTTTGGGGATTTCTTCTCATTTCCTACTGTGTTATTGGGACAGGCAAGTCCCAAAATGTTTAAAATAATGTAGTTGGCTGGAGCTCCTACTTAAGACACTGACATGAAGTAGACATTTGTAGTCTACTGATGTCAACTATGACAGATAATAACTGTTTTTGAGGATTTCTAACATTATAAATTATAAAGTAACTTTTTACAAAATGTGTATATACCCGTATCATTTTTGTTTTTGTTTTTTAGCCAAATCGGCCAAAGTACAAGGCAGCTGCACCTGGGAACTTAGGGAACTTACTGGCACCAAAGCTGCAGTTTCAGGTAAATACTGGCCATCACTAATTCTAAGCAAAAAAAACAGAATCAAGCTATTGATGGTGCAACGGAAGTCCATTCTGAAGTCTCATGTATGTCTGGGCAAAAATTTTAAACAAAAAACAGTAAATATTTGCAATACATGCACATTTCCCTTAGTGCTGGATTTTCAACCACTTGAATCTTGGGTGCTGTTTTAAAATGGTGGCCCCTGCCATGTCTGGATCCATTTGGCAGAATGCTGCACTGTCCTCTTGCACTCCTGCCACCAGGTCCTTCAGGCAACCTCTTCTTGACTAGGACCTGGACCCACCTGCTGACCCGACGGGGCCTGGGCTCAGTACGAGGATACTGCCTGTACCCCTTTATTGGCAGCTTTACCCCGTCTACAGCAATTTTTCTGCTGTGCCTGAAAATGATCTGTCTGCATTCACCACCAGCCATGCTACCCATAGCAGCTCATCACGATGACATAGTCGCTACAAGGATGGACATCGGCTTGTATTTAATTTCCTGCTCTTCAGCAGCACTGACGTCATTAGCACGGAGAAATATGTGGCCACAATGAGGGCATGAATGTGTCATTTGCTGATAAGAAGCCACAAATGTAAAGACATTTCCCAGTTAAAAGGAAAACCTTATCGGAGAGTGTCCGGTGCCCTCACCGATCCTCCGAGGTGTAGAAGTGAATTTCTGATGAGTTCCACTTCAAAGACTCCAACTCCTGGCAGTCTTCTTAAATGTCATTTATTTTCAATTAGCGGTACAGTGCCCAACGCGCACTGTCTCCACGGCGTGATGTTAATCAGGGGATATAAATGGTTTTGTTTGGGTGTGTGGTGTGTGGTGTGGGGGGGTGGTGGGGTATTCAACTGAAAAAGTTAACATATGCTGGAGGACCATGGTATGTGACCGGCATGTGGGCTTTACAAATCTAATGGCCAGGACACCTGTCTTATCTTAGGTTACCCAAAGAAATTGGACAGCGCCAAACTACTACTAAATATATATTTTTTTAAATATAAACATAATGCATAACTGCATTATTTGTTGTTCTTTTTATGTTAAAGTTTAGATTTAAGATGCAAACCGTTTTGAGTCAATAGTTCTATGCGTTTGTAGTAAACCAATTTTACAAGAGAAGACCGTTGACAGAAAATATTTTTTTGTAATCATAGTTCAGTCATATTAAAGTAGATCTAAACCCTAGCTAGGTCATATTTAAAAAAAAAAAAAAAAAAAAAATTATTTATGAAAAATAATCTATTTTATTACTAACAATAACATAATTTGATAGTATCATATAATATATTATTATTATTAGTAATAATAACAACAATAATTGTGTTTTAATAGTATAATTTATTATTATTATTATTATTATTACTACTACTACTACTGCTGCTGCTACTATTACTAATGCTACTACTACTAATAGTAGTAGTATTAATAATAATAATTGTAATAATAATGCATTTTATAATAACAATATTAGTATTTATTCAAACAAAATGGATAACTGGATTATTTTGTTGTTCGTTTTTTATTTTAGATAAAAGTTTAGATTTAAGATACAAACAGTTTTGAGTTAATAGTTCTATATGTCTGTAGTAAACCAATCTTGCAAGAAATGGTCATTGACACAAAAATGTTTTTCTGTAAACCATATTTCAGTCATTTAAAGTAGGTATAAAACCCTAGCTAGGTCATATTTATAAATAAAAACGATAGATTATTACAAATAATATATTTTATTAATAACAATATTTATTCCATAATAAGTTTTATCATTAATAATATTAGTGAGAGTAGAAATAATAATAATAATAATAATAATACTATAATATTAACAATATTAATCTTCTATAGTGTAATTTATCATTATTGTTAGCAGTAGTAATAATAATAATATTAATAATATATTTTTTAACATTAATAATATTTATTATTAGAGTTTAAAGTAATTATTATTATTGTTTTGTTATTAATAATGATCAGAATTATCATTATAAATTATATTAACAACAATTAGCATATTATTAATAATAACAAGAACAATTACAAGGATTATAGAATTACTATTCTATGGTTTGAAAACATCTTCTAAAGTGTCTCTAAACCAGAGTAATAATGTTATACATTGCTGCTTTCCGGGTCTTAGATATGGTGGCTGCATTATTTTTCTTTTTGGCAGAATATTTTTTACCCCTGATGATCCTGCCAGTAACAGGCTGGGTTCCTCATTTAGACTACATATCACCTTCCCCTCCCGATAACATAAGGAGGATGCGTACTATGATCCATCAAGCTAACCTGAGCCATTGATAAGACAGCTTGGGATTTCAGTGTTGTCAGTCCACTAGAGTACATGGGGGGATATGCATGTATTGCAGAGATGTACTGAATATGTATTTTTTAAATGTTATCAAGACATACTGTACATTTCCTCCAAAGGCATTTAGCAATTCTGTTGATGTTTGGCTAAAGCATTCCACTGAGAAAGCATATGAGCAAATGCATGATTTATCCATACATACCAGGAGTGGGGATCAAACCCACGAAGATATACATTGATTGGATCTTAAGCCCAACCACTTGGCCTTAACCACTTGGCCATCCTGGTGTTTTCACAACCTCTTCTGTGTCCAGTGTTTTCTAGGTCTGCCATTGATGATATCACTCCGGTATGTGTACGCTGCAGTTACATCATCACGGTTCCAGGCTCCATTACAGATGTTGGTATTGAGCTAGAAGTGTACACTGCACTGTACATGTGCTGCAAAATATCCAAAACAAAAGAAATGTTAGTAGCCAGGGGAAGAAGGTTTTCCTTTTCGCAAAAATACTTTGCATGCCCTTAAAAATATTCTCTAATATAGCTACATACTGTATACCTGAACATCAATATAGAAGAGGAGAAACATTTCTCTATTATTCAGGAAATGGCCACCCGCCAGACTCATCCACCTTAAAGTAGAAGTCCAGTCAAATACTAACTGCTCCCACCTCCAATTCTAAGCCTTTTCTAACTACCCTGTAAAGGAAAGATCAGACTGGCCATAAGGCACACAGGGCATTCACGTGGTGGGTCAGGGTTACCAGGCTGCATGTCCTTGGGGCTCAAAAGCAGATGGGCTGCTCCTTGAGCCTGCGCTGCTCACCCAGTCTTTCTGTGGCCATCCGTCCATTTAGATCGGCCATTGGGGCTGGGGGGCAGAAACAACAGGTCAGCTGATGCATAAAGGGAAGGAGCTGGAGGAGAACCCATGGCCTGATGTTGGGGATAGGTGTCACTGCTGCCACCTGCTGCAGACACCATGAGCTGGGGAGAGAAAGTGAGCTCCATACTTATGTTTAAAAAAAAAAGACAATTTATGTGAGTTTAACTCTCTAGTGTGCTGATATAGAACTCTATGTCTGATGCTTGCATGCTGCATTCACTTTACATTCTGTTATTCTCTGTTCAGTATGTCCAGTAATCTCTAACAACCAATCGGTGAGCGGTAATGGTATGCAGTAACTTCTAGCTACCAATCAGTGAGCGGCAATGATATTCAGTAACCTCGAGCTACCAATCAGTGAGCTGCAATGATATTCAGTAACCTCTAGCTACCAATAAGTGAGCGGTAATTATATTCAGTAACCTCTAGCTACCAATCAGTGAGCAGCAATGATGTGCAGTAACCTCTAGCAACCAGTTAGTGAACGACAAGGATAATGAAAAAAAAAAGGGTTGCTCAGTCTAAAATGCCCGGGCCTAGAAAGATGTCAGTAATTACCTATTCTGAGGGCACTCCGGTCTGGCCACATGATCACCTCAGCTTCAGTGAAGAGGAGAGATCCTGCAGAGCCCAGGAGGTGATGTCACCCATGGGCATACTATGGGGCATCTGCTGTTGGCTGCTCCAACTTTTTTATACTTTACTGATACTGAAGTTGGCACTGGGAGACGATCATATGACCAGAGTGGAGTGATCTCAGGTAAGTATAGACATCTTTTCTTTACAGGTTAGTTAAAATAGGCTTAGAATGGGGTTTGGAGCAGGTTTAAGTATAGTTAGGATTTTACTGGACCTCTACTTTAAAAACTACTCAGTGTCTGCCACCCCTCTCTGCCAAATTCCTCAATTGGCTGCCAGTCCCCCAACGTATAATATCTAAATTATATCATCAGCATACAAAGCCATCTACAAGTCGACCCCACATCTGCATTACCAACCTCATCTCAAAACATCATCCAAACTGTCCTCTTCATTCTTCCCAAGACCTCTTGCCCCCTCGTACCTTCTTCCCATGCCCACTTTTCCAAAGCCCTGTCAACCTCTGGCTTTCAAGGTGTCCAGTTCATTATAAAAGGCTACCAGTGGAGACTGAAACCATGTGGATGTGCATCCATCAGATCTTAAGTCCAACAACCTAATCACTGAGCCATTCTGACTTTTTGGTTTGGGGCAGCACATACTCGGGGAGTGAGTACAAGAAGCTCCAAGTGACTCTAGGGCAGCCTTTCTCAGCCTTATCAACACAGAGGAACCCTTGAAATAACTTTATTGGGCTCAGGGAACCCCTACTAAAAATGACTATATCAACAAGAATGACCGCCTTATAAATAGCTAAAAAGGTCAATGGTGTCAGAGGCAGAAATTGTTCATTGCTCAAGGAACCCCTATCAACCTTTGAAGGAACCCTAGGGTTTCATTGAACCCCTGGTTGAGAAACCCTGTTCTACTATTTAGGCTTGGCCAAGGGTTTCTTTTTTTTGTTATGTATTTTATGAAGTCTAACAGCCCGCAGACTTTGTGTTGCGTCCAGCTCTAAACACATGCTTGGATGCCGAGCTGCTTTTGCCAAGTTTTGTGGAAAACCCGTTTGTGTATTTGTGCTTCCTTGTGTATTACTGCTCTGTCTTGCACTTACCAATGCTGCTAATTGTCTGTGTCTGTGCCCGCACCTTTTCCTGCACAGGTGCCTGAAAGTCTGTGTGCCAGCTCTCCTACGCTCTGTAGCCCCACAGAGTACCAGTCTCCAATTGACTCCACCCACAGCCCACCACTCCTGCGCCATAGCATCATCAAACGTCGCAGTATGAGGGTAAGGCTTGCATGCTTTGCATTACCATTATGGTGAAAAAATGTATTGTAGCATGTGTGTGGTCTCTTGGGGTCACCTGGCCATCAGTTGACCTTCAATGTCTTCAGTGTTTGGATCTCAATGTGTATCATTTATGTCAACCTTTATTGAAGGAGGAGGACTTTGTGAAGCCCAGTAGCATGGAAGAGGCTCAGAAAATGTGGGAGAAGGAAAGGAACAAGATGTTGCAGGTCATAAACCGTCAACAACAGCAGATGCTCGAAGATAACAAATGGCTGAAACAGGAGGAGCAATCGCTGGTCAACAACCTCAAGGTGCGATATTAGATTCTGTACTTCATTATCGGGTTTCCTTTCTATATTTATTAGTTACATTCATGAAGTGGCCAACTTTGTGCCATACTGAGTTGGTACCAGGGGCAGACTGACCATTCGAGCACTTGGGCACTGCACGAGAGCCCAGGGTCAGTAGGGGGCCCCATGAGATGCCCCTGGTACCTTTTTATGGGTGTGGGCAAGGACATAGGGGCCCCATGATCCCCTATTGCCCGGGAGCCCCATGAGTTGTCTGTCCGCCCCTGGTTGGTACATTAACACATTAACATTTGAATGTGTTTGATTGCTTGATATGAGGGACTTCATAGTTCCTGACGATGTGGAGGACTGTAGGCTTGGTTGTGTTGCTGTAGTAGAGAAGTCTCCAATCTTTTCAGTATGAGGACTACATTTGATATCTCACAAAAAGTACAGGCCTGAGAAAAATAATCAGTTTTATAAATGAATAAAATAAAATTTAAATGAATGAATAATCACCCTCTAATAATTAAGTTCTTCAGAGTCCTCCTTTCACATCAGAAGCCACCCCTATACTTCAGAGACCCCCTTCCATCAGGTTCCTCCTTTTACATCAGCACCCCCCTACCATGAGGGTCAGAGTCCCCCCTTCCAGGAAGGTCCCCTGTTCACATCTGAGCCCCCCTTAACCACTAAAAGCCTTCTTTATATTAGAACCCCCCTTTTTTACATCTCAGTTCCCCCTAATGTCAGAAGCCCCCCATGACATCATACCCCCCCCCCCCCACATGAGAAGTGCCCATCACATTGTAGTACCCCTTCATATTAGAGCCCCTGTGTTTCCCTCACTGTGCATTCCTGTTGGCAGACCCATGTCCATCATTGTGGGTGTAGAGGTAGGGGAGATCCGTGATAAGATGTTCCCCGTTCCTACTAAGAACACAGAAGTGATGTGTAAAATGTCACTTCTGGGTCCAGATGTTACCTTATTTTCAATAGAGGACATGTGAGACATCAGGGGTCTCATTAAAGAGAACCTGTCACCAAAAAAAGGTATCAGATTAGGGACTTTTTGACAAATAAAGTTTGGTGAAAAAGTGTAAAGTTGCACCCAAAGCATTTTTTTGAGCCCCCCTCCCCACATACACACATGCGTTGGGGGCACCTAATAATAAAAAATGTCTATTGGGCTACATACCAATGTGCATGCAGGAATGAGAGCAATGATTCTAGGACCATTATTCAAATTCATGGTCCATTAAGTAGGCTTTAATGCTTGAAGGCGGCTAGAGCGTCTATAACACGTTGATTGGCTCTCACAGTGGTCATATGAGTGGGAGCCTGTACTGCTGTGTCCCATTCAGAAGTCATGACCTAGAGTTGTCGGAGGCAGCGCCCAATGAGCGCGCCATTAGCACAGAACCTCAGGCCGCCACAGGCTCCCACCGAAGGGGGGAAATCTCACTAAACCTCTACCTTTTTTTTTTTAAGTCAGACTACAGGCAAAACTTTTTTTTTCAATTTTGGATAGGATAAGGGAGAATTATAACCCCTGTCAATTGTTTTTTTTTTTTTTTTGCTTTTTGTGAAGGTTTACTTTGACTTCGTGTCCCATAACCAAAACAGGAAGTGGAAGGAAATTAAGGGAATCCCTAGTGGCCCCCAGGTCACCAGAACTAGTGTCCCCATTTGAAGATTTCCCCTTACATTACCTCTTTCTTCTTCATTTTTTCTTTTAAAATTTTGGGATTTTCTTTTACTTTCACTTTCAATGGTAATGGTAAACAGGACAAACAGAGAGGGTGAATCTCCCTAACAGGGGCCGAGGCAGCAATAAAAATCTGACAGGCGTTCCCTCTTCACTCTATCCAAAACTAAAAAAAAAAGTTTTGCACTTTAAGTTTGTGTTTTTTCATTTTTGTCACATTATTATTTTTTGCGTAATAAAAGAACAATTTTATTTAATTTACATTTGTTACTTAGTATAGTGTTTTTTTTTTGGGTGGGTGTTTTTTTTTTTAGATTTGATTTATTTCTTACATTATTATTTTGCGTAATAAGAAACAATTATAAAGGATAAGATCACCTTTTGGATGAAAATAAAAAATGCACATTTTTTTGCAGGCAACAAAATGTGCATTTATTATTTTTGTCCAAAGGAGCCTGGAAAGCATTGCACCAGCGATCAGTAGATTTCTGACGCCATGCAGGTCTCCTGCAGACCTGTCAGAATATCTGCATGCTGTACGGGATGTACGGTCAAGCAGATATTCTGACAGCGCTGTGGTAGTTCATTGAAAACGACAAGCCCACATCTGCTAAGGCTGCTGGGCCTTGTAGGCACTCATTCACAGAACTCTGTGAATGAGTGACGCAGCCGTATAGGCGAAACCCCACACGGCCGCGCCATTTTGAAAGCTGACAGATAGTATGGGGAGATTTCTCCCCGTGCTGTCAGGAGGGGGGGGGGGGGGCATTGGGTGCGGCTGCGGCTATGGGAACAAAAAACGGGTGGAAAATGAAACATGTTCTAACGGTGAACTTATCCTTTAATTGAGTTACATTTTTTTTCCTTTTTTGTTTTTTTAGTATAGTGGGTTTTTTTTTTTCAGTTTTGACTTATTTATTATATTATTATTTTTTGTATACTAAAAAAGTTGTTTGTTTTGAAATTCACTGGTTATTGGCATTATTTACTTGGGGAATCCACTGGGGTATCTCTATTAGAGGCACTGTTCACTTGTAGGTGTTCTATATTGAAGGGTAGTCGGTTTTTGTCCTCGGATGACCCCATGTTTTTTTAATAACCGGTCTTTTTTTTTATATATATAAACCCTAGCGCCTATAATACTGTCTCCAGATAATTTGCAGTATCTCTTCCCTGATGGGGTACCTTTTAAAGTACATCCCCAAAAACCGACGCGCCCATTAAGGTGATCAAACACGAAAAGCACCAGATGAGAAGAAGAACCAATGACGACGAAGCCCAATTTACTTCAAAAACCCGGCTGCGTCTTCTGAATTTCTATGTGTGACCCTTCACCCTTCCAAGATTTGCAGAGCTTTGAGGAGTTTAACAAGTAGGCTCTCAGGCTCATTAATTAGGCGGCTGGGTTCGACCCGTTCTTACATATTCCTGGTCTCCAGCGAGCTCCCTCCTTCCTGGCTGCATTCGGATGGACGGAGAATGGAGGGGCAAGTAATTGGCTGCGGAATATTCAATCAGTCCACTCTGATACAACGCAGAGACTGCAATTCTGAGTCCAGGAAAAATTTCGAAAATCTCTGATCTCAGAGGACCTGGCTTACTTTAAAGGTGAAGATATTAATTTATAGGGGTCATCACAGATTGAGAATGGGGCTTTATAATACATTATTAAAATCCGTCATGGTGCAAGGCAATATACAAGACGTAACTGCACTCAGAATGTTAAAGGAAAGCTGAAAAAGACCGGCCAACTGCCTTCTGCAGGCATTTTCAGGAGGATACTGTCATGTTCCTTCATGGGAAGTCTGAGATGACAAAGACAGCCTCTCTTACTGCTCCAGTCCTGGGCAGTAGGGCAGGGAGTGTGGGATGATGGAGTATTGTAAGTGCACGTGTCTCTGGGACAGGAAGCAGGGGCGGACTGACCATTCGAGCACTCGGGCAATGCTCGAGGGCCAGGGGTCAGTAGGGGACCCCATGAGATGCCCCTGGTACCTTTTATTGGCTTTTTCATAGGCTCTTTTGGGTGTGGGCGAGGACATGGGGGCCCCATGATCCCCTATTGGCCAGGGGCCCCATGAGTTGTCAGTCGGCCCCTGACAGGAAGTGAAGGGAAATTTCTCCAATGGGTCCAAGAGGGGGGTTAAACCATTCCCCATGTTAGTCAAATTAAAAAAAATATATGTTTCGGCTTTTGAAAAACTATAAAAAATGGAAAAGAATGAGAATATGAATGTTAGAATCATTATATAGGACATGATTAAAAGTACACAGGTCCCAGGACCCGCCTAACCTCACCTCCTTCATACAAGTTCCTAGAGAGGCTGCACAAAATCCCATTAATAACCCGTGCATATCAACCTGAGCGGCAGACTTGTAGAACAGAAATATTTCCATATTTAACAAATATTGAATAAAATAATCCCAAAAATTGGTATATAGAAAACTGCTCACAGCATTTTTTTACCTTCAGGGTAAAAGTACTTATATGTTCTAAATTTTGTCTCTAGGATCCAAATCAGCAGAAGAAGGGTGAAAAGCTACCTGAATTAGTAAGAATTAATTTGGAGTTGGTAAACTTTCTGTCACCCTAACACTAACCCTCTCTATAAAAACGTAACATTAACCCTCTCTATAAACGTAACATTAACCCTCTCTATAAACGTAACATTAACCCTCTCTATAAATGTAACACTAACCCTCTCTATAAATGTAACACTAACCCTCTCTATAAATGTAACATTAACCCTCTGTCAGGAATGGACTTGCCAATAATGGTGGGACTCACCTGCCTTGTGGGCTGCAGTACCAGGGCTGGCCAGCGGGTGCTCTCAGCAATCAGAGACTCACCCCTGCAATCAGCCAAACACCTGAAGCTGATTGCAGGGGTTGTATTTAAGGAATGGCTAGACTCACAGTCAGGGCCTTGGTGTGTGTTTTTCCATGGGCCCCTGTACCTTGTATCCTGTATTCCTGTTCCTGTCTGACTTGTTGCCGACCCTGCCTGATCCTGACCTCTGCTGACTTCTCCTGCTTGATCCCTGGCTTGTGACCCTGACCATTCTCTGCCCGACCCTCTGTACCGCGCTGCCCGTGAGTTACTGAACCCAGCTTGTGACCCCTACCACTCTCCCGCCTGTTCCTGGTACTCCGTTTGCCCGTTTGCTACTGACCCGGCCTGCCTGACTACTCTTTGTATTGTTTGTATTGTTATCGGTGGGTGGTTTGGTTTGGTTTGTTTGCACTGTGTTTATGTTTAGTTTTGCACTGCGTTTTGTATTGTTAGTCTTAATAAATTATATTGTTTATACCATATCTGAAGCCTGCATTTCCCTGTGTCAGTCCGCACACCTCTGGTCATACCTGGAGCCCTGACACCCTCTCTATAAACGTAACATTAACCCTCTCTATAAATGTCGCACTATATATGGCGGTGGGTAGTATGTGCAGGAGAGGAGTGCGGAGTGTATGGCGGTGGGTAGTATGTGCAGGAGAGGAGTGTGGAGTGAATGGCGGTGGGTAGTATGTGCAGGAGAGGAGTGTGGAGTGTATGGCGGTGGGTAGTATGTGCAGGAGAGGAGTGCGGAGTGTATGGCGGTGGGTAGTATGTGCAGGAGAGGAGTGCGGAGTGTATGGCGGTGGGTAGTATGTGCAGGAGAGGAGTGTGGAGTGTATGGCGGTGGGTAGTATGTGCAGGAGAGGAGTGCGGAGGGTATGGCGGTGGGTAGAATGTGCAGGAGAGGAGTGTGGAGTGTATGGCGGTGGGTAGTATGTGCAGGAGAGGAGTGTGGAGTGTATGGCGGTGGGTAGTATGTGCAGGAGAGGAGTGTGGAGTGTATGCGGTGGGTAGTATGTGCAGGAGAGGAGTGCGGAGGGTATGGCGGTGGGTAGAATGTGCAGGAGAGGAGTGTGGAGTGTATGGCGGTGGGTAGTATGTGCAGGAGAGGAGTGTGGAGTGTATGGCGGTGGGTAGTATGTGCAGGAGAGGAGTGTGGAGTGTATGGCGGTGGGTAGTATGTGCAGGAGAGGAGTGCGGAGGGTATGGCGGTGGGTAGAATGTGCAGGAGAGGAGTGTGGAGTGTATGGCGGTGGGTAGTATGTGCAGGAGAGGAGTGCTGAGTGTATGGTGGTGGATAGTATGTGCAGGAGAGGAGTGCTGAGTGTATGGTGGTGGGTAGTATGTGCAGGAGAGGAGTGTGGAGTGTATGGCAGAGTGTATGGCGGTGGGTAGAATGTGCAGGAGAGGAGTGTGGAGTGTATGGCGGTGGGTAGTATGTGCAGGAGAGGAGTGCGGAGTGTATGGCGGTGGGTAGTATGTGCAGGAGAGGAGTGTGGAGTGTATGGCGGTGGGTAGTATGTGTGCAGGAGAGAGGAGTGCGGAGGGTATGGCGGTGGGTAGTATGTGCAGGAGAGGAGTGTGGAGTGTATGGCGGTGGGTAGAATGTGCAGGAGAGGAGTGTGGAGTGTATGGCGGTGGGTAGTATGTGCAGGAGAGGAGTGCTGAGTGTATGGTGTGGATAGTATGTGCAGGAGAGGAGTGCTGAGTGTATGGTGGTGGGTAGTATGTGCAGGAGAGGAGTGTGGAGTGTATGGCAGAGTGTATGGCGGTGGGTAGAATGTGCAGGAGAGGAGTGTGGAGTGTATGGCGGTGGGTAGTATGTGCAGGAGAGGAGTGTGGAGTGTATGGCGGTGGGTAGTATGTGCAGGAGAGGAGTGTGGAGTGTATGGCGGTGGGTAGTATGTGCAGGAGAGGAGTGCGGAGGGTATGGCGGTGGGTAGAATGTGCAGGAGAGGAGTGTGAGTGTATGGCGGTGGGTAGTATGTGCAGGAGAGGAGTGCTGAGTGTATGGTGGTGGATAGTATGTGCAGGAGAGGAGTGTGGAGTGTATGGCGGAGTGTATGGCGGTGGGTAGTATGTGCAGGAGAGGAGTGCAGAGTGTATGGCGGTGGGTAGTATGTGCAGGAGAGGAGTGCGGAGTGTATGGCGGTGGGTAGTATGTGCAGGAGAGGAGTGCGGAGTTATATCTGGATAATTCATGAGGATCTGAGAAAGGTTGTGCCACTTTGTGGCCAGAGGGGCACTTTCATTGGACAGGCTAATGGCAATTAAGGTTACCCTGAAACATACAAAAATGAGCCTTGAGCACCATCTACTGGTTGGAAATTATATACAGTATAAAAAAAAATTATTCATGTGCAATATTTCAGATTTACTTGCCTAACAAAATATATAAACTACTCTCTAAAATATGTTTCTTTCTTTCAGGCACCTACAGAAAAAGAAGTTTCATACAGTGAGTACTATGCCATTGCTGTCATTATAAAGAGAACCAGTCACCGGTTTTACCCCAGTAAAATCACATTTATATACCTGACAACAAGTAGTAGATAGGATCTCTTCAGATTTTCAGACTCTGTTAGGATGTCACCTCCGCTCTATCCAGAGATGCCCCATTTTTCATATGGTGGGACTGTGTTACTAGGGGATCTTTTCGACCACATGAGCAGGGGATCGACTGCATGCCTAGAGGCACTAATTACGTTTTTGGGCTCCCAGATACGGCATCTATAGCAGGGGTATTGAATTAAAATTCAAGAAGGGACGGTCAGTAAATTTTTCTTCTGGCCAAGGTCCAAATAGGGTGTGCCCATCAGTATGCCCCCTTACACTAGGTGTCGCCATCAGAGTGCAACTTTACATCATGTATTCCCATCACAGCAGGTGTGCCCATCAGAGTACTCCTTTACATCAGTTGTCCCCATTTACATCAGTTGTCCCCATCAGAGTACTCCTTTACATCAGTTGTCCCCATCAGAGTGCCCCTTTACATCAGTTGTCCCCATCAGAGTACTCCTTTACATCAGTTGTTCCCATCAGAGTACCCCTTTACATCAGTTGTCCCCATCAGAGTGCCACCTTACATCAGGTATTCCTGTCAGAGTGCCCCCTTACACTCAAAGTACCCCTTTTTATCATATTTCCCCATCATAGTGCCCCTTTACATCAGTTGTCCCCATCAGAGTGCCCCTTTACATCAGTTGACCCCATCAGAGTGCTCCTTTACATCAGCTGTCTCCATCAGAGTTCCCCTTTACATCAGGTATCCCCATCACATTGCCACCTTACATCAGGTATTCCTGTCAGAGTGCCCCCTTACACTCAAAGTACCCCTTTTTATCATATTTCCCCATCAGAGTGTCCCTTACATCAGGTATCCCCATCAGAGTGCCCCTTTCCATCACATGTATCCATCAGATTGCCCCTTTCCACAGTATGTGCCCATTTGTACCCCCTTAACATAAAATCTGAGCATCAAAGTTTCCTTTAACATAAAATGCGCCCATCAGAGTGCCCCTTAACATAAAATGTGCCCGTCAGAGTGCCCCTTAACATGAAATGTGTGCTCGTCAGAGTTCCCCTTAACATAAAATAAGGGGCATGCTGTGGGCACATTTTATGTTAAGGGGCACTCTGATGGGCACTTTTTATGTTAAGGGGTACTCTGATGAGCACATTTTATGTTAAGGGGCACTCTGACGGGCACATTTTATGTTAATGGGCACTCTGATGGATACATTTTATGTTAAGGGGTACTCTGATGGATACATTTTATGTTAAGGGGTACTCTGATGAGCACATTTTATGTTAAGGGACACTCTGACGGGCACATTTTATGTTAAGGGGCACTCTGACGGGCACATTTTATGTTAAGGGGCACTCTGACGGGCACATTTTATGTTAAGGGGCACTCTGATGGGCACATGTTATATTTAATGGATTGCTTAACCACTTGAGTCCTAGGCACTGTCTTATAACGGTACATGAACAGTGGCTATTTGTCTCAGTGCCGTTTTTAAATCAGTGCCCAGGCTCAGCAGCTGCAAGAACTAGCGCTGAAACCATGGACTGTCAGGGACAGTTGGGGTCCAGCACTGAGCTCCGGATCACAACTATTCAGCTCCTCTGGACTTCTGTTCCTTCTACAAATTGCTCTATAGGAACAAGATATAGAGGCGAGTCTACACACCATTCTTCTAGATAGTGTTTACATCAGGAGCGTGGTGACGTCACGGCCATACGTTGGCACGGACAGAGCCGATGCAGCACTGGGTTGCAATGTGGCATCCAAAGGGGAATAAATTCCCACAGTAAAACACATATCATTTTGAGGACCAGTTCACACCAGCATGTGGTGGACTTCCAATCTTTCTGCAAATAGCTCCAACTTGACCATGCAGCTTATTTTTGTTCAAGCATCGTTGTATTCAGATACTTGAAACAACCACATTGACTTTTTCCAGTATTTTTCCTGAGGTTACTTGCGGGTTTTTCTTTGTATCCCGAAAAATTCTTCTGCCAGCTGTACCTGCAATCTTTCTTGGTCTACCTGACCTTGACTTGGTATCAAGAAATTCTCAAATTTTCCACTTTTTAATAAGTGATTGAATAGCATATTCAAGGCTTTGGATATCTTTTTTTTATCCTTTTCCATGTTCATAAAGTTCTGTTACCTTGTTACACAGGTCTTTTGACAGTTCTTTTCTGCTCCCCATGGCTCAGTATCTAGCTTGCTCAGTGCATCCACGTGAGAGATAACAAACTCATTGACTATTTATACACCGACACTAATTGTGATTTCAAAAGCCACAGATGTGGGAAGTTAACCCTTAATTGTCATTGTAACCCGTGTGTGTCAATGTATCAATCAAGTGAGAAAAACAAAACACTCCCAATGGCAAATCAAGTCCAAGAATGCCGATGGCAATCGATTGCTCTGTGTGTATACAGCTGACTTGTTCCTTGTCTCCACAGCTGAGTTCACGGTGCCGCCACAGAAGCCCCCCCGGCTTGGAGCGCAGGTGAGTGCCCGACCAAGAAATCCGACTTAGGGGTCCTACCACCAGCAATGGACCCGGCTAATAAAACGCTTTCTCTCCCCAGTCTCTACAGCCGGCACCAACGCTAACATCGATCGTACAGATGATAACGTCTATCAGAGTGTGATGGAGCTGGTGAAATCGGTCCTACAATTAAAGAACGACATCTACCAGATCCCACCGGAAGAATATGTTGGTGTGGTCAAGGTGACAATGGAGATAACTCTACTTTTTTTTACTTTTTAATGGTTGAACTGGATGGGCTTTTGTTTTTTTTTTTTGCAGCCAAACTATGTAACTATAAAAAAAAATTATTGAAACAAGGGCAGGTAACCCTGGAGATGTGGAGATCAACGATCAACGAGATCAAAGATCCCCGGGGTTCAGCAGGTTGATTTAAAAGGAAATAACTTTGTAAGGCCCCATCAAAGAGTGAGAAAGGTTTGAAGGGGTCAGGAGTAAGTAATGGAGAGTTAGGATGTCGGTAGTAACTAACACAGAGTGCACGGGTCAGGAGTACATGATGCCTGCATTTTTGTTATTACAAAATCTAATTAGATGTGTCTCATTTTATACCCTTCTCCTTCCAGAACGTCGGGCTCGTGCTCCGAAAGCTCATAGGTAGCGTCGATGAGATCCTTCCATCTCTGCCACAGTCTTCACGCACAGAGGTAAAATATTCTGAGAATATCATGAAAGTAGAACTGTTTTTTTTTTGTTTACCCGACTCATTTATTATGAGGGTTAGAGTGTATCTAAATGTTCCAGTGACAGCATTTTATCCTGTTTACAGAAGAGGAAATGAAGGGGAATGAGTCTGGGACACAGATGGAACAAAGCTGATAGGATTTGACTTATATACCCTTAAAAAATAAAATGTAAGATAAAATTGGAGTTAATAATAATATTATTATTAGTAGTAGTAGTAATAATAATAACTATTAGTGTTATCATTATTATTATATATTTTTTATATTTTGTATCATTATTTAAAAAAAATATTAAAATAAAAGACTATTATTATTTGTATTATTATTATTATTAGTAATGTTATTATTATTATTATTATTAATATTATTAATAATAATAATAATAATCATAATAATATTAACAATAGTAATAATAAAATAACATTTGTATCCTAATTAAAATAACTAAAATAAAAGATTCTTCTTCTTCTTATTTATTATTATTAATATTGTTGTTATTATTATTAATAATAATAATAATAATAATAATAATATAATATAATAGTAGTAGTAATAATAATAATATTAACAATAGTAATAATAAAATAGCATATTATGATCATTTGTATCATTATTTAAAAAAATAATTAAAATAAAAGACTCTTCTTCTTCTTCTTCTTCTTCTTCTTCTTCTTCTTCTTATTATTATTAATAATAATAATAATAATAATAATAATAATAATAGTAGTAATAATAATAATATTATTATAATAATAATAGTAATAATAAAATAACATGTTATGTTCATTTGTATCAATATTTAAAAAATTAAAAAATAAAATAAGACTAAAATTAAGACTATGACCTGAGGTCATCACAGAGGACAAGGGGGCACACTTTACATCTTTCGGCACTCTTTTAGGAAAAGAAATTTAATCTCCAAACACGGAAAGGTTTCTTCACAGTAAGAGTTGTGAAAATGTGGAATAGACTCCCTCAAGAGTTGGTTCTGGCCAGCTCAGTGGATTGCTTCAAAAAAGTCCTGGATTGTTTCTTAGATACACAGAATATAACTGGATATAACATTTATAGGTAAAGTTGATCCAGGGAATATCTGATTGCCTCTCAGGGGATCAGGAAGGAATTTTTTTCCCCTGCAGGAGCAAATTGGATCGTGCTTTCTTGGGTTTTTTTTGCCTTCCTCTGAATCAACTGTGGGTATAGAATTATAACTTTTTTTTTTTTAATGGTTGAACTGGATGGACTTTTGTCTTCTTTCAGCCAGACTAACTATGCAACTATGTAACTTTGTAATATTATTATTTATTATTCTACTGTTATGTTCACTTAAATCTTTATTTAAAAAAGATAAAATGTAGGATAATTTATAAAAATAATAATAATAGCTATAAGCTTTGATTTTATTTTTTATTTTTAAATAATGTTACAAATGAAAATAATAATAATTATTATTATTACAAAGTATTGCTATTGTTATTAATATTATTATAATTATTTATCTTTCATTTTATCTTTTTAAATAATTATACAAATGAAAATAATTATTATTTTTACTGCTGTTATTTTTATTATTATAGTTTTTTAAGCAAAGATACAAATGAACATAGAAATAACATAAATAACAAAAATTTAAAAAATAAAAATAATTAAAATGTTATATTTTTTTTGTATTTTATATTTTTGTTGACATAACTTCAACTTTGAGTAAGTTTTCAAAAGTATTGCATCAATAAAATATATTTTAATTAATTATATATATATATATATATAATTTTTTTTTTTTTAACAAACAACCATTTTTTTTTTTTTACTATAGTATGATCATTTCTTTTTTTTTCAGATTGAAGGAACGCAGAAATTACTTAGTAAGGACTTGGCGGAGCTGATCAGCAAGATGCGCCTGGCTCAGCAGAACGCGGTGACGTCGCTAAGCGAAGAATGTAAGAAGCAGATGTTGACAGCTTCCCACGCATTGGCAGTGGATGCCAAAAACTTACTGGACTCCGTCGATCAGGCTCGCGTAAGAGCCAACCTCGCCAAGGTGGCAGCGGAGTGACTTAACGTACGATCACAGGAAGGAACGGATGTTTGGCGGAGTAGTCACTCTAGTTTATTGGCCATATAGACAGCGAGTGCTGCTAATATGAACTTAACCTCAACCATTGATGGGACCAACAATTCAACTTGAGTTGTCAAGTCAAACTTGAGGACGTGTAAAAGGAAAAAAAAATTAAGTTACTATGAAACGTATAGGTGGCAGTTTAGGGTTTGTAGAGAGGTATTTATTTTGTACAAAACAAAAAAAAAGAACTCTGATGGTACATTTTTCTTCTTTTCTGATCTCTACGCAACTTACCCCCAGCTTTATCGATGTTCTCAGTAGGATTGGACTGTGTTTATTGGGCTTCCTTGCATTTCGATTAATGTTTTTTTTTCTGCGTTTTAATAGCTAAATGTATTTTTTACCAGCAAGACCTTTCTGTTCAGAAGTGTTTGTCCTGTTTTATCTCTAAAAGCAAAAAAAAAAAAAAAAAGTGTGATGGCAAACAAACTCCATAGGGTGTAAGTGGTCTAAGCTGAAAATCATCTAAACAAACTGGTCAAAAAAACCCAAAAACATAAATATATATATAAATATATATATATACACATATACACACACACTCTGTGTATATATGTGTGTATATATGCCCCAATAACAAAAATTATATAAAAAAAAAAAAGAGTATATACAGTGTGTGTATGTAGAGTATATACAGTGTGTGTATGTATGTATGTATGTATGTAAAATATATATATATATATATATATATGTATGTGTATATATATATATATATACACACACACACACACACACACACACACATATGTTAATCACTCGAACAGTTTCTCCTGTTGGATAACTTCTTCGAAGGAAGACAACAGTGTATTTCAGGAAGTCCATATATAATTACATTAATATAATGTTTACTTGATGGTAATTTTTTAATGTTACTTTTACATTTCCCTTCATTTCTTTTTTTTAATTACTGTATTATATATACAGATGTATGAATGCGCCCTCTAATGGTCACATATGTCTTAGGCAACGTAGCTGGCATTCTTGCTTAAAGCCCCATTGAAGTCCCAGGAACAGATATGAAGTCAGATACCCATTGTACTGGGCACCTCCATTTTCCGGTTACCTTTGTTGTGCGAGGTGGCTTAATATGACTATGAGTATGACAGTTTAATAGGAGCTTGACCATGCTGCCCACTGCCCTTTGCAATCTAACAGACAGACACACCCCTCTCAAGTCGGACACACCCCCCATTTTCTTCCTCCACACTACAAGCTTGTTTAAGGAGGCTTAGGGGTGTGGCCAATACTCAGCTGTGTCAGTGCAGAGCACTGAAATGGGAGAGCACTAAGCAGCATTGCCGCTAGGATGATCTGGATGGACCGCTGTCCTTTTTCAACCCTATTACCTACGTAACTAGGAGAAAATAGTTACATTTTATGCCAATTCCACATGAAAATCAGTTAGAATTCATAATATACAGCAGCACAGGGCTATAAGAGGGGAAAGAAAGGCGTGAGATTCCAATTGAATTGTAAGAATACTAAAATCGGCTAATTATTCTTAAGCTTAGGCTAATTAAGGTCTTACAAAAATATGTGCAAATATAATATAGTGAACTTTTTTTGTATCTAGAAAGACCATCCAGGTTGTGGATATAGAATATGCTGGTTAACCCAACAATCAATACTATTTGTTGTTGCACAAGACAAAAGAGGAAACAAAAGGAAAGGAAATTATAATTATTTGGCATCCCCATCATCTCTGTTAATGGCTTTCTTCCATTGGATCATATCATTGGTAAATGCAGAGTACTATCTAGTGGTTGAAGGGGGCAAGCTCCTCCTATGCATGTGGAAGGGGTCCATTGGAAGCCAAGTTCCATGATGTATAAAGGTGAAGGAGCCTCACAGATTTTTTACATTTTATGTCTCTTTGACTATTGCAAACATGGGGACCCTCAAATAACAGCATGTTCATGCACATGGTTGTCTTTTTGAAATTAAAGTTTTTTTTTTTTTTAAGGGGACAATTTGGATATAAAAAGTGCTTCCTGGAGTCCCCTCTCAAGGACTGCTCAGATTGACTTAGCAAGGCTTATCGAGAGTGTGATGTTTTGCGGTCAGGCATGATCCATTGGGCCACATAGGGAGTGGAAATGTAGAAGCACCCATAGACGCGACCTTCGGGGCTGGTTGAAGAAACCTTGCCCAATTTTGTGTTCCATGTTATTGGGACTGTCCTCATTCCGCTTCATCTCTCTCTTCCATCAAAGCCTTTGGAGATACTGGCCTTCAAGATCTATGGCTAGCTGCAGGAATTGCAATATAACTAGGCAAAAGAAGAATATGGAGGTGCAATTTATTACGTCATTAAATGATATTATTTTTAATGCAAGTAATGGAAGTATCTAGAATTAGACTCTTGCATACCCAGCATAGCAGAGATCAGACTGGAAGAAGTGTGAGGGTCAGGACTAAGAGTCAATTAGTTGTGTTGAATGAAAATGTGTTGACAGAGAATAGGCTGATAGGCGGGGAGAACAGATTGAGGTGACCTTATCGGTTATCTGCTGTTCTTTCACCACCCAATCATCAGACTTGGGATTGAAAGAGGACATCGCTGTGGTGTCATCCACCCAGCTACATGGCAGAGCTGTGTAAATATCAAGACTTGATGGCCAGAAATAGACTTTTTTTGGCAAATAAAACAGCTCCCATATATGTATTCATCTGCCCGGTGTTTTGCTTTATTGAGTAAATATGATTGATTCAATGTTGTAGCATTTTGATGCCGGATCTCCATTCATTGCCTGGTTGACTAAAAGTGTTTACGCTGCAAATACTGTACTATACTTTGTTAGTTATATTGTATTATACTTCATGCTAGTTACATTGGATTGCGCTGTATCCTATCTCGTGCCTCATTTCTCCCTTGTATTAACTGACTCGGAGGCCATTTCAAAGGGATTTATGAGAAGACTGTATATTTGGGGGAAGGGTTGAAAATGATGTAAATAATTTTTACTTTTCACCTAAGACCTGGTAGTAAAATTCTTACTGTGTGTGTAATTGTTTGAGGAATTTATTAGAACTGAATAGATAACTTTGACATTTTGGCTCACCCAAAACCTTCCATCTCCTGCGCCTTCCTATTGACTGGTAGAAAAGTTCATCATAGCGATGGGCCAATAGAAATGGGACTAATGTTAGGTGGCTTACCCTGTTTATGTTAAAGGATCTAATCATCCATAAATTTTATTTCAGTTCCAGATGAAGCTTGGAGGGTTGAGGGAGTCCCTGACTTTCTATCATTCTTGGATACTCCAACAGTGCCATATTTCTTGACTCTGTTCCTATCCACTTTGGAGTTTGTGCATCCCAGCTCCTCCTGTTATATTCCTGTGAAGACGTTAAACAGTACCCAATATTACTGTGTGTAGCTCCATATCCCCTCTTACCTTCCTGACCACATAAAACAGCTCAACCTGTCCAGACCTGGAGTGTTGCATGCTACCCAAGACTCAGAGATCTAGGGTAGCACTGAAGAAGTAAGTTCACGATGCTTACTCAATGGCTTACTATAATTCTAATTTTAGATAAAGCCAGATTCAGCAGATTCAGAGCACAATGAACTTGCTGCTTCAATCCAGCCATAATGAATGACTTTGGGAGTCAAAGGCTCTCATTATTGCTCAGGGAGTTCTTCCATCCAAAGGATCAACTAACATTTTAAAGGCAAATGTATGTGGACCCCTCTCCAAATGATTGAAATCAGGTGTTTCCAGGGAAGTGTGCTGTTAACTTTATAACATACAAAGACATTGTAGCTGATTTTGCTCTTCCAACCTCATGGCGCTATTTTGGGAAAGACCCTTTTCTGTTCCAGCACAACTGCGCCTCTGAGGACAAAGCCAACTCCATAACGACATGGTTTGATCAGTTTGGTGTGGAGGAACTCAAGTGTCCTACACAGAATCCTGACCTGAACCCTACTGAAAAGTCTTTAGACCTCAATCCTACTGAACAACTTTAGACCTGAACCCTTCTGAACACTTTGGACCTCAAGCTTTCTGAATCCCTTTAGACCTCAACCCTTCTGAACACCTTTGGACCTCAACCCCTAATGAACTCCTTTAGACCTCGACCCTACTGGACACCATTGAGATGAATTGGAAAGCCAATTGTGAGCCAGGTTTTCTCATCCAACAGAAGTACCTGACCTCACAAATGGGCACAGTTACTAACAGAAACACTCCTTAGGAAAAGCCTTCCCAGAAGAGTATAGGCTGGTTTTGCTCCATTGGGAGTGTCTCCATATTACCGCCCCTTCTTTCGGAATGAGAAGTTCAATAAGCTTGTGTCTTTGTGGTCGTGAGGGATTCATAAACCTTTGGTCATAATGTCTACCACATGCAACTACTGAAAAGGGTTCAAGGACCATTATACTCAGGAAGATATCTTCTCATCTACAGTCAGATTTCGGCTGAGGGAAGAGTGGTACATGGAACCCTGAAACTGGTCTGCATTTTTTCTGGATCAGCTTCATAAGATGAGGGATTTAGATGACAGGGCAGCCAAGACTTTAGATGTCTGTGAGAAAATTACCATAGGTAACCAGGAAGGATCTGTCACCTCTGCCTACAAATGGATATGTTCATGTTTGATTGGAGCATCCATATAAGAAGCTTTGACAGATAAAGCCCAATGTGATCATTGTTGAGTTTCTACAAATACCTTTTACATGTGTTCCTTTAAATGCATTAGTTATTCTTTGATATAAATATGCTTGTATTGTATATTAATTGTACTTTTACATCTTTTAGTTTCTACTGAATATGTTGTTGCTATTACTGTCTGTGAATACCTTTGATTCTATGGTCTGTACTTAACATTCTTTAAAGATTTTGTAAATATATTTGTAATCTTGGAAATGTGAAGGGTTCTGTCTTTTTGATTAATTTGGGATAATATTATTTTTACAGGTGTTTATTTAG